TGCATTCATCCCCGTATACATTTTTTAGCGTTTCGTACGTTTCTGCACCACTTTTACCCAATTTAAAAGTTGGTCTTCCGACCGACGTACACAAAGTGACTTTACATAAAATGTCAAACCACAGTGAAATATCAACCGAATTCGCTCAAATTTTGAGGTTAAGTAGATGAAGGGTTGAACATTCACCTACCATCATTCATTCATAGATATCGCTGCGGTAAGAACTTTGATGGAACCAGTCTCATCGTATCTGGGACAGACTGTGTATTTAGGAAACCTGTAGGAAATTCCGAGTTCTCAGCTTTTGTGAAATATGTGTGGGAACATAATTTGTACTCGTTTCATCAGCTGTTAGACCACGCGTTTTTTCGTGTGAGTAGGCCTCTTTTCATGGTCTATTTTACGGCTCTGTATTAACCGTTGAAGTAAAAGGAGAGAACTCGGAACTTTTTACAAGTGTACTGAACCATTTCAAGTGTCGTTTTTGAGAAATTTTATTTTCTTTTATTTTTTTATTATTTTTTTTATTTTAAAATAACACGCAAGAATTCTCAGCGTGTCATTTCTCGTTTATGACACCATAATTCCAATATGGCCGCAGCGAGTACCCAGGGGCCTTAAATGTACAGGATGTCCGGTAATTAGCTGCCAACCCGAAATGTGAAGGTAGATTGGGTTAAGTTGAAAAGAAAAGTACAATTTTGAAAGAATCGCAATAATTATTGAGTTATTAATAACAGAAATCCGAGGAGTGGGTATGTGATGACATAGATAATTGAAGAAGCGTTGCAACCGCTTGGGCCACAGCATGATCTAATTGATCCAGCAACTATAGCCAGTGCGTGGCGAAGGGAAGGACAACGTATCGCTATTTGTGTTTTATCTCTCTGCACCTACATCTCGCCGCACGCCTCCAACAGTTGTTTGGTCGAATGGGCCATACGATGGTCCGAGAGGTTGCAACGCTCTTCTAATCGTCCTTATCGGAGCGCACTCACTCGTCAGATTTCTGTCATTAATAACTCGGTATTATTAAATCGATAATTCGAAATTATTGCGATTCTTGCAAAATTGTATTTTACTTTTCTTTTCAGCTTAACCCAATCTACTTTCATACTTCCGGTTGGCAGATAATTACCGGACATCCTGTATATAAAATACTTGCGCAAACTTCAAAGTATTAAAAGATTTGAAAAATCAATTTAGGTTAAAAATGACCACATACATTTCTTCATACTTTGATATTAAAAACTAACTGTAAAAAATTGAAGACAAATCGGTGTCTAACGTTCTTCGAGGTTTACTTGTAAAATTAAATTATATTTATGGAAGTAGCTGGTTATACACGAATTTTATTTGGTCATAAATAACATTTCATTTATTACAAAATTATAATCAAATCTGTTAGCGATTTGTCTATCTATTGTACTAACGGTTTACTTATCAAATTATTTCGTTAAATTATTTTAATAATACTGTTTTAATAATATTGTTGTTGAGATTGATATACAATTAGTTAAGGTTGAGTTTTCTCCTTCCATTATACGAGGGTGGATTAATAAGTACCCGTGTTAGGAATGAAGACGAATAAAGTTTTTCATAAAAATTTATTTTTATTTTTCAACGTAATCCCCTTTTAGGACGATACACTTTTCCCAACGTCCCTGCCAGTTCTTTAACCCCTCTAAAAAATACGATTTGTCAAACTCTTCAAAATAAGCTTCTGTCTTGATGATGACCTCCTCGTTTGAGGTGAATTTTTCCCCGCGAACCACGTTTTCATGTTGGGGAATAGAAAGAAGTAGCAGGGAGCCAGGTCGGGCGAGTACGATAGGTGCGGCAACAATCGTAGCGCAATTCATGCAATTTGGCCGCAACGATTCCGGATGAGTGAGCTGGTGCATTGTTGTGGTGGAACAGCACTTTTTTCTTTGCCAATTGGTGCCATGTCTCCTTCAATTTCTCGTCGAATCGGACAAATAATTCACTGTAGTACTGCCCCGTGACCGTGCTTCCTTTTTCTAAAAAGTCCATGAGGATTATTTCCTTCGAATTCCCAAAAATCGTAGCTATAACTTTTCCGGCCGATGGGACTGTCTTTGCCTTCTTCGGAGCAGATTCGCCCGGAAAAGTCCATTGTTTTGACTATTACTTGGTTTCTAGCGTGATGGATCCAAGTTTCATAAACGGTGACGATTCGACACAAAAACTCTTGTGGATTTCGCTTAAAGAGGTCCAAATACTGCTTCGAAATTGACAGCCGTATCCGCTTGTTGTCCATCGTGAGCAATCGCGACACTCATCGGGACGACAGCTTTCTCATTCTTAACTTATGTAAAATATTGATTGCTGTTCCGTCCGACACGCCTACGGCCTCTATTACTTCGCGCACTTTCGTTCGGGGATCAGCGAGAATCATGTCGTGGACCCTTTCAACGATTTCCTCAGTAATTACGTCTGCCGGGCGGCCTAGCCACTCCTCATCAGAAACAGATGTACGGCCACGTTTGAATTCGTTGAACCAATATCTCACGGTGTTCATAGATGGTGAAGGGTCTCTATAGACAGCAACCAACTTCGCTTCTATTTCTTCGCACGTTTTTCCATCCAAAAATAAAAAGCGAATTACGAATCGATATTGCTCTTTTTCCATCGTATCGAAAACCACCAAACACATTTAATATATGTGGCTGTCAAATAAAAAATAACCTATGAATCTGTCTGAAATTTTTATATGGCACGTTTAAAGGGCAGTAGTATACGATGATAATGCCAACTTCCCTCAACAACGCTATCTGTCTTCAAACACGGGTACTTATTGATCTACTCTCGTAGTTGAATTTTAATTGGTGCAGATATTTATGTTAAACTTGGCAACGCTGTAAGATTATCATGTACAACAAATTTCGCTTCACCATTTCCGCTTTACGTTGAGAATAGCAATTAACGCTTTTCATATCACGTATGCGATATTAGTCGCGAGAAAACTTGCATGCACAATATACAATATAATATAATAGCATCCTGCTTTTTGTTAATTTGATGATTTGAAATTTCCAAAAGTCAGTTAAAAAAAGTTAACAAAAGTCAAGGCGTTATTGCAACAATATATTCTTGAGACTAAATAGAGCAAAAAAGTCTAGTACCACTTTTTTTTCCGACATATAGTTAGCGAGATATCGTAAGTTAAATATTGAAAAAGTTATCAAGTTTTCTTTAAATATCTAAAAAAATATTAAGTAAATAAAAAAATATTTTAGACAAAAGTTGTTCAAATTAATTGATAGAAACAGACGGTGTAATAAAAAATTGGGATTTCTGTTAGAAAATTTCGAGTTGATCTTCAAATGACCCTCAAGGTCAATTTCAAGGTCACCAAAAGATAATACTTTATGACCCCTATAACTTTTATTTGAGTCATTTTCCGTGAAAGTGCGCACTTCTGGAGATAATAGCGGGTTCTCATTTTTTTCGAATACCCTGTATTGCATAGTTTCAAGAATAAGGCCCTTGGTCTCTCGGTCTCTAATAACTATTCTGTGTCACCTGTTTTTGAAATAACGAACAATCATTCATTTATATCATACTTAACTTTCGCAACAGTGATCTGCAAATTTTATTGCTGAATAATATAGCAACTGTTAAGTGTTTACGTAAACAACGAAATATAGATTAAACATCTTTTTTTCAATGCCTAAATTATATTTACAAAATTAGCATTGAGATAGTTTAATTATACCTTATATACAGGGTGTCCCAGAAGTAATGGACCACCCTAATAACTCTTCAATATTGAAGTTTCAAGGAAAATGATTTGAATAAAAGTTGTAGGGATTTAAGTGAGCTTATGATGACCTTGATTTTGACCTTGACCTCTATTTTCAAGGTCATTTGAAGGTCTACTTGCGTTTTTTAAATGGGAATTCTTATTTTTGATTACACTGTTTTTTTTACTAGTTAATTTGAACAACTTTTGTCTGAAACATTTTTTTATTTGTCTAATATTTTTTGAGATATTTGAAGAAAACTTGATAACTTTTTCAATATTTAACTTATATCTCACTATCTATTTGTCGGAAGAAAAAGTGGTACTAGACTTTCTTGCTTTATTTAGTCTCAAGAATATATTGTTATAAATGCGCCCTGATTTTTGTTAATTTGATGATTTTGAAATTTCCAAAAATCGGTAAGTTAATAAAAGTCAAGGCGCTATTGTAGCAATATATTCTTGAGACTAAATAAAGCGAGAAAATCTAGTATCATTTTTTCTTTCGACAAATAGTTAGCGAGATATTGTAAGTTAAATATTGAAAAAGTTATCAAGTTTTCCTCAAATATCTCAAAAAATATTAGACGAATAGAAAAATATTTTAGACAAAAGTTGTTCAAATTAACTAGTAGAAAAAAACAATGTAATAAAAAATGAAGGTTCCTATTTAAAAAACGCAAGTCGACCTTCAAATGACCTTGAAAATAGAGGTCAAGGTCAAAGTTAAGATCATCATAAGGTAGCTTTCTTAAATCCTTACAACTTTTATTCAGATTATTTTCCTTGAAACTTCAATACTAGAGAGTTATTAGGGTTGTCCGTTACTTTTGGGACACGCTGTATAATAGCGGTCCCTTATTAACCCTTATTAACCCTTTATATCCTGACGGTACTTCAAAGTACCGCTCTATATATGCGCTCTTGAACCTTTTTCTCGTGTCTTATCCTACATTCCTGTCGGTACTTACAAATACCACGTCAAAATTTAATCATTGAGTTGTTACAAAATTTATTTTCCTGTTTCTTATGTTTATAATGCTAAGAGTTATTAGTAATACGCAAAAATTTAATAAGATCTTGGGTAAATTAATTTAGGATATAAAGAATTAAATAAATTCACGATAATGGGATATCGGTTTACAGAAATTCAGCCATAACATCAATAATAGATTATTGTACAATATATTGTATTATAGACATAGCAAAATATGTTAAATCATAATTATAATACCTTATTGCCGTTTTGCCATCATGGGCGTGCTGATCTATAGGGGCGCCATGTTGTTTTAGTAACTTTTCTACCAACGATGTGTGTCCTTCCTGCGCTGCAAGCATGAGTGCGCTTTTTCCGTCATTGTCGGTTTCATCAATTTTCGCACCAGCATCCAGTAATGCTTCACAAACATCAATATGACTTTCAAATGCGGCATAATGTAAAGGTGTCCAACCAGAATTATCCCTATGTTGTTCATCTAGGCCTTAATGTAAAATGCATTCCTTTACTTTTGTGGATTATTAAATTATTATATTAATGTATTAATTATATACGAGTTAACATATTAACAAAATAATATTTCTTTCTCATTTAAATGTCACAATATATGTGTATCTATTTATATCTATTTTTATGTTATATAATATCATATTACAATACATGAGTCAATTAAAGAGTTACAAACTTATATCTCGAGAATGAAGCATTTCAGAGAAAAATGTACCAGACAAAAATTGCATGGTTTCAAGAGGGATATAAAACAGTTTGTTTACAGATGACGTTCCTTTTGAGATATTCACTGATTATTACTTTTTTTAAATGGAACTCCAATTTTTTTATCATATTATCTTTTTCTACCAATTAATTTGAACAACTTTTGTTTGAATCCTTATAACGTGGGACAAGGAGTCCCTTGTCTCCGTTACGAATCGCGCGGCGACGACGATCGGTCGCCGCGCGATCGAACACTGCCACTACCATCCCCGCACCGCACCGACCATCAGTGCTGCGGCAATAAGGCTCGAGCGCCGAAAGATTGCGAGCAATCGCTCGCCCGCTCAGGAAAAATCGGGATCAAGACGCGAAAAGGGGTAATCTCAAAATCCGCATGCGCAAATTTCGCGGAAATTTGGGGGGATAACCCCTTCCGCTCTCGACTCTCGATTTTAAGGGTATATAACTCGTTCTTTCACCGAGATCGAGAGAGTCGTCGTCTCAAAGCGAGATAGTCTTCCGAACAGAGCTCCCTGGCGAGAAGAGGCACCCGACGAGAGGACTGAGTAGAACCAGGATCAGTAAAGCGAACAGAGAGTCCGGGAAGCACGGCCAAATGCCGGTGAGTAATTTCTCCAAGTACCATACCGCATCACCGGGAAAATCTTACAAGACCCGGCGGCACGCGCTAAACGGACGCTTAGCGTTCCACCGATACGATCCACACGGATCCGACTTAGAATAAATTTCTGTTTCCGAAAGAACGGCAGCAGTTAGCCACCGTTTCGCGATTCTAAATGCTCGTCCGTCGACGTTAGGCAGCAGTTAGCCGTCGCGCCGACTTAGAATAAGTTTCTGTTTCGAGAGAACGGCAGTAGTTAGCCACCGTCTCGCGATTTCTAAGTGCTCGTCCGTCGACGTTAGACAGCAGTTAGCCGCCGCGCCGACATAGAATAAGTTTCTGTTTCGAGAGAACGGCAGCAGTTAGCCACCGTCTCGCGATTCTAAATGCTCGTCCGTCGACGTTAGGCAGCAGTTAGCCGTCGCGCCGACTTAGAATAAATTTCTATTTCCGAAAGAATGGCAGCAGTTAGCCACCGTCTCGAGATTTCTAAGTGCTCGTCCGTTGACGTTAGGCAGCAGTTAGCCGCCGCGCCGACTTAGAATAAGTGTCTGTTTCCGAAAGAACGGCAGCAATTAGCCACCGTTCCGCGATTCTAAGTGCTCGTCCGTCGACGTTAGGCAGCAGTTAGCCGTCGCGCCGACTTAGAATAAGTTTCTATTTCCGAAAGAATGGCAGCAGTTAGCCACCGTCTCGCGATTTCTAAGTGCTCGTCCGTTGATGTTAGGCAGCAGTTAGCCGCCGCGCCGACTTAGAATAAGTGTCTGTTTCCGAAAGAACGGCAGCAATTAGCCACCGTTCCGCGATTCTAAGTGCTCGTCCGTCGACGTTAGGCAGCAGTTAGCCGTCGCGCCGACTTAGAATAAGTTTCTATTTCCGAAAGAATGGCAGCAGTTAGCCACCGTCTCGCGATTTCTAAGTGCTCGTCCGTTGATGTTAGGCAGCAGTTAGCCGCCGCGCCGACTTAGAATAAGTGTCTGTTTCCGAAAGAACGGCAGCAATTAGCCACCGTTCCGCGATTTCTCAGTGCTCGTCCATCGACGTTAGGCAACAGTTAGCCGCCGTGCCGACTTAGAATAAGTTTCTGTTTCGAGAGAACGGCAGCAGTTAGCCACCGTCTCGCGATTTCCAAGTGCTTGTCCGTCTACGTTAGGAGGCTCCCGCGCCGTGCACACTTTTGCGCCGACAACGGCGTTCGAGTCCCGCAGACGACTGGTTCGTTTTTTTTCGTATGTAAAGACATGTAATAAATATTTTTATATTGTTCTTATGTATAATTCCTTTTTTTGTTTCTACGCTATTAATCAAGGCTAATTAGGAGAGTCAGGTCTTTCAAATATGAACACAACTTTTTTATTAATTACAATAAAATGTATTTTTCGTGTAAATCTATTTCGTATAAATATTTCGTATGGTATGGGAAAGAAATGGCCAGACAGTGATTATTTTGTGTGAGAGAAACCCGAGAGCCGTTAGAACCGTTACAAATGGAAAGGAACCCTCTTCCCTTTCCCCTTCTCGCAGAGGGATTCTCATGTTTTGTGACATGCTCGCTTCGTTCTCTGGGCAATCTTCGTAACGTGAACAGTGAAAAACTCGTGTTAAAAATCGAAATCACGTTTGTAGATGAAGCAACGATCAGCTATGTGCAAAATCTAGCAAAATGTGATATTACGAAAGAAGAGTTGACGGATGCAATAGAATATCTTCGAGGTAAATATATTGAATGTGTGAGCAATGGAAAGATATATTTGTACGTATTGTTATTGGCCTTGTATACAATATCAATTATATTGAATTCATATTTGCAGATGTTCTGATACAATTTAATTTAATTAATAATGAAGCGCCAAGAAAATTATCAAAAAATTCGAAATTAATTGGCGGAAAATTGTTTGAAAAATTAATTAAACTGTTCGGAAAACATAAAATATCAGATGAGGTGAAATATTATATAGCAGAAGGAGAAGACGTGATTGAAGAAGATGCGATGGAAGATGTTCAATCGTCTTCTTCGGACAAGCCTCATACGAGTCAAAGAACGGAAGACTACGAACCTCTGTAAAAAGTTGCAGCGATGGATCTAGTGCCGTATGACGTAAAATTGAAAATAGTTATGACCGCAAACGAACATCCGAATTGGAGCTTCCGTACGTTACAAAGCAAGTTTAAAGCATTTGCATTTGCATTATCACAGTGAAGTTGCACGCTTCCGCAAATACATTTTATCTGGTGGAAATTATTTGGATAAGCTGCAATTAATAAAACGGAATGTGTATGATCGGTTTACGGAAGCAAGAGAGCAAAGGCAACTTGTTACACGACGTCTCCTTCAACAGTGGACGATGGCTGCAGCCGTTCAATATGACAAACAAGGAGAAGAAAGCGAAGAACATGACAAAGCTTTCCGCTTTGTAGCATCGAACACATGGTTAACATCATTTCTACGTGAATACAAAATTTCTAACCGTCGAGTTGTTCGGTATTTATCAAAAAGAGAAATAATATCACCGCAAGCTGTGATGGAATCCGCTGTACACTTTCAAGAATTAATTAGAAGTATATCACCGGATTACGACCCGGATTTCATAATAAATTCTGACCAAATGGGCTGCGAATATCGCGTAAATGTTGCACGAACGTACACGCATACTGGCGAAAAATTCGTACAATTATATATCGGCGATCTAAACAAAGTGACTCACTCTTATACTGCACAATATTCTGTCACACAATCGGGCAAGCTATTAAATAAAGTGTTCGTTTGCTTACAAGAGACTTCCAACACATTTGGAGTCCGGGTACAGAAAGAGGTAGATGCGTTATTGCTATTATGTAAAAATGTTGTTCCAGTCTGCTCCAAATCAGGGAAATTAACAACGTCTCTCTATCAGCAATATTTGAAACTGGTTCTCAAGCCGTACGTTGGTAATCATCAGTTTTTATTTCTTGTTGATTCTTGGGGAGGACAAAAGAATATCCATATGTATAACGAAATATTTCGCGATAATAACAATAGGCCAACGTGTAACCTACAAATAATACCACCAAAATGTACGCCAATTTGTCAACCGTGCGATGTTTATTTCTATAGACAGGTCAAAATCATTATAAAGCGTATACAGAACTGTCCTTCTTTATATACCGGCGACGAAAGTATAAATTTGAACACTCGCGCTGATGCAATTCGTATACAATCACTCACACACTATCTGTTATTAGCATCAGTTTTCAATTTTATGCTCCAATATGCGTGGTGTGCGTCCAGTCTTGTTGACAGTCGCGAGGTATTTTACAACGTTAATCAAATATGTTTTCCACCAACTATACATAGTCAAAAGTGTATTTGTGCAAACAATTATGCGTTTATTACGTGCAGTTGGTGCAAAAAACTATTATGTTTTACATGCTTTTATACGGCATTCCATCCGCAGAGTTGCGACTGCATGACCACATTTTATAATACATAACTTTCATTTGTGTGCCTTATATTTGTCTTATGTGTGTGTGTGTGTGTGTGTATGTGTTTTGATACGGACAAAAACATTTTATTGTAATTAATAAAAAAGTTGTGTTCATATTTGAAAGACCTGACTCTCCTAATTAGCCTTGATTAATAGCGTAGAAACAAAAAAAGGAATTATACATAAGAACAATATAAAAATATTTATTACATGTCTTTACATACGAAAAAAAACGAACCAGTCGTCGGCGGGACTCGAACGCCGTTGTCGGCTCAAAAGTGTTCGCGGCGCGGGAACCTCTGTCTGCTCAGCCACGCCGCTTCGTGAAAGAGTGTCGTAACTTGCGCCCTATGTGTGGCACGGCTCCGCGAGCCAAACTTTAACTGCAAATTACTCGTAAACAAAGACGCATTCACTCATATTATGTTAGAGCGTTTATACACGGCATCATAGCTATCGAGTGTGCTATGATTCGTGTTGAAATCGATGAAACAGGTTGCGTCATCTCCTTGTTAGATTAAGTAACTGTAGCGAAAATAAGCGCGGAGCCGATAAGACGCGTACGCCGATGTTACGAAAGGAGAAGCATTAGATTTTCAGCCTATCTGCTAACCGTCCGAATAGCGGGCCTCGATCACCGGCGCGTTTGTTTTCGACGCAATCAACGCGCCCAAACATATTCCA